GTTACAGATCTTCCATAAACCAAATCAATATTTAAAGCTTTTGAAACATATTTTAATAGAAAGAAAGAATGTCATCTAATTTTGAAAGATCACTCACTTACTTTAACGCAGTTACAAACTATATTTGAAAGCACACTTGTATTACATTAGTATAATACTTTTGTGTATCTTCCATCAATTCATATCGTTATCTTGGTCTTATCTGCCCTGGTTTGTATGTCTGGTTCATACGACGATTTCAACCCTTTCATATCATACCTAATCGGCTTTCCTAGCTAACTAACCGATGATTTCAAATTTACCCGAAAATGGCCGACTACTAGTACAACATGTTTTCTATATCAGCGTAGAGATACAACTACGTGACCATAAGACCGATGTCTGATATGTGGAAGTTGGACCTCTATATCATTGGTCCAATGCCCACCCTTGTAGCTGATTGACAAACCTAAAACGTATTCAAGGCATAATTATCGATGTGAAACAAGTTATGCCAAACCACCATTGTCGGTTTATTTTCTTTTGTAGTATACAGTTTAATAATAAAACAAGTGCTGATAATTTCCTTAAAATGACATACACATCATTTTGGTTAGGTTGAAGCGATATATTATGAAAAACCATAAAATATAAGGTGTACGTATTCACATACTTTCCTGCATTGTAGGCCATTTGGCCATTAATTTTAATATCCCATACCTAAACCCTCCAAGGAAATAGATCTCCAAAAGAAATACTGACAGAATAGAACTTAATCGTCTTTGTTTGTTTGTTTGTATGTTTGTGGAGTAAAATGTTTCGTTATAAAGTAGAAATTTATTATCTTAATTAAGTCGCCTTAGTCTTACTGTGAGCTAAACACCATTTTGAAAAATAAAATATACCGTTGGATTCTTCTCAAAGAGAGGTATCTCCTTATAATTTCCTTTCACATATTGCGCTCCATTAAACATGCCTATATCTACCGTCATCTTTTAGTGACCTTAGATGGTTTTAAAACGTATCCCTGAAACACCATGCCTGAGCGGCTGACTGAAATAGCATTACGCATTAATTATCGACATTGACCAAGTGCTCAAGTGCCCTGTGATTAAGTGGAGATAGATATTTTTAAAAAATCAAAATATCAAATGAGCTACATATATCCGGGTGAACGATTATGTGTCCGATAAAAATTATAACTCTATTCTTACTCGTTTTGCAGGAGAAACCAGCTCAACGCGATTTTCACGTGCAACCTTTTTTAAGCAACAGGACGTACAGAAGATCGACCACTAGTGGACGTCTGCGCGTCAAGACACGTGCACAGGACCGCTATATTCGTAACACCCAGCTGCGCAATCGTTTCCACTCGGTTTATAGGGGAATTAGGGAAGTTTCCGTTATACATTTCAATACATCCTCATATAATTAAGTATTAATTGAATCCCAAGATAATATTTATCTTCTGTATATTTTATACTACTCAAAATTTGCGAAGGATCACTTTTTTCTATAGTGTGTAACTTTTGTGTACTTGAAATAAATGTGAAAATTGAATATAATAAATTAAATACATGTATTTAGTTATATGGTATGAATTGATTTTAATGAAAATGACAGTGGAAGTTTCCTTGACGTGTGGTTGTTGCGGAAAGATGTGCTGGACGAAAATCATTTTGGAGATCACATAGTGGAATAAAAGAAATCTTGCAAATCAGTGAATGGTTGGCGTAGGGTGTTTAATACCGAGTATGGTGTCCGCCGGCATTAAATACGGCCTGGCACCGCCGCCACATGCTGCTGATGAGTCTGCGGACCTTGTGATGAGGAATTGAATCTGGGCCCATTCCTCTATGATTGCATGTCTTAGTTCCTGAACTGTTGTTGCTTGGTGGAGGTGGCGTGAAGACATGGTTTTCTGAGGCATTTTCCAATCATGCGCAATGGGATTTAAATCCGGGGACTTCGTTGGCCAATCCATGCGGACTATAGTTTTTTCCACAATATATCAGTGTGTGATGTGGGCTTTGTGTGCACGGGCGTTGTCATCCATACGAATGAAACCAGAGCCGACTGCGCCAGCGTACGTGTAAGATTTCATTGACATACCTTACTGCAGTGAGTGTACCGTGTTCAATGTGTAGGTCCGTTTTCCCCTGAGGACTTATTCCCGCCCACACCATGACTGAACCCCGCAAAACTGTCGTGTTCTGCAACGCATGCTGGAGCCAAGCCTCCATTTGGACCTCTCCAAACCCTAGCCCGTCTGTCCGTGAAGTCCACACAAAACCTTCTTGATTCATCAGTGATGAGGACCGGGATCCAATCATTAACTGTCCATGTGACATGAGTATGCGCCCATTGCAAACGCTCTTGAATATGGCGTTGTGTAAAATGAATGCGACTTGCTGGCCTACGTGACCTCAAACCAGCATCATGCAACCTGTTTCTAGCAGTTTGTGTGCTTACACTCATACCAGTTGCATTCTGGAAGTCGTTGCGTAAGTCGTAGCGTTCGAGAACTGTTGGTGCTAGGCCTGAAGGACAATAAATCGGTTCTGGGCTTGAGTCGTTGAACGTTCCCAACCTCCGACTTGACATTGCAAGACGTTTCCAGTCATTTCAAATCGGTTCTACATCCTGGAGACAACGCTTCGGGATACCCCAAGGACATGGGCAACGTGCTTTTGAGAACGGCCAGCCTCCATCAATTACAACAACTCTTACAATATCCATGTTCATCACATCTTCATTAAGCCGACGTCTAACCTGTCGATTTGCCTACAATAAAACGAGAGAAGTCTTGCTGCTTGTACACGTTTAAGTGAAAGCACTGGCCATCAAACACCAAATTTCCATGGGTATGCTTTTCCAAGTGCTTATCATGCAAGGTGTACATGGCAAATCGATAACTTAAGGACACGATTATGAGGTTCCCGTACGAAATATGATTTCAATATGATGATACTAGGACTGAAGTATACAATGTCAAAAAGGTGATTCTTAGCAAAGTTTGAGCTGTATATTGTAAAATTATTTATGGTAAAATTCCCTTATGTATTTTATAACATTACAATTAATTGTAAAGTAAAATAAAGGACGGATTCCCGACCCTATTTTACCTATTTCGGGGACAATAAATGGAGTTACCTTTTGGGCTTCAAAAGTATATAATAAAGTATTGGGATTCCATAAATGCATTTACAATAGTGTCTGTGATAAATGAGAAAATGCCAGAAATAACAGTGTGAAATTAAGAAACTGTTTGCGGTACTTAGTTTTGCCCAAAGTATAGAATTTTTCCGGCAGTGTCTTAGTGAAACAGTTCTTACTTATTTTTATGCAAAGACTTACCGATTGTAATGTGCAAGCACAGAGTGCAGATGTGTCTAGTTAAGGTGTTCTCACACATCTATATTCGTATGTAAAAGACCAGTTCTTTTTTTAAAATTATATTTAGACAATACAAATTGTAAATCATTAAGAAGCGCTCTTACACGCCTTTGAATGTCCTCTCACATACTTAGAATTGAGTCCGGAATGTATGGTAGAAGCCCGTTAGAACGCCACAAAAGAACATGCCGATTTTGTGATGCTAACGATCTTAAAGACGAGCATCATTTTGTTATAAAATGCAGTGCTTATGAGCATCTTAGTGTCCAATTTATTAAGCGGTATTAGAAAATATAGAATTACTGCAATCTAAAAGCCACAAGGTACTTAAAAACTTATGTTATTACTTAAAGGGGTGAACATCAGACGAAATGATAAATCTAGAGTTCTTCAATAGTATATCGTTCTCTGGATTATATATACTGTGACATTCTTAAAATTATATAGAGTAAATATTTTACTCGATTAAAAGCGAAGTTATTGTTTGTTCACCGCTTAACTTTAGAGATCTTTGTATCAATCATTCATTTACAGAAGTAATTATAGATAATTGATTAAAGGAGTTTTGTCAGTATATGTCATGCACTGCATTGTATGTATTAAATATCCCATTATTTTGCATTGTATTGATTTGTTTGTTGAATAAACTGTTCTTTTCTGGTAAATCATTTACCGATCGCTTGACAGGTCTGTAATTATTTACGGACCTTTCTTGTTCTATTGTTCTCTGTAAGTCGAGAAACTCGTGCACTTAAGATTAAGCATTGCATAATAACTTTAACAAGTGAAAAAAGTTGTTGTATAAGTTGTGATAATTGATAATAAAAAAGTCTAAGGAGTTCTTCTTTTAGAGTCTGAATGACTTATGGCTAAATGGTCCTACTTATATTTAAAAGTAGCACTTTCAAAACGATTTTTATTTAAATTGCTTGTAGAAAACATACCTGTTACAAAGAACCACCTACCTTCTACTGTATTTATTTACAGAGACAATATATTGACATGTTGCAGTTTTACACTTTAAAATAGTATTCGAATTTCAAGGTTCTATACAGTATCTGGTTGTTTAATAAAAAAGATATGGCTACATCTCATTTTACATTTAGAGATAGAATATAAAACTTAACAGCGTACTTATTTTCAAAATTGTAATTCGAATACATATGTATAATTTTAGAGACATTTTGCTTCAATATTGAAAATAGATATTCAAGATTATTTACTACATGTATAAATACAGGATTTATTTTCATCGAGTGGTATGAAAATATGTATAACACGAGTGGTAGTTAGTAAACAATAATTATTTTCTTATCACAAGAAGATTTATCATTATTTTTGACCTAACGTCCCGAAAGACTATCCCTGTAATTGTGTATTTTAGCTGAATTTAAAAAGGCAGCCTTAAAAAACGGAAAAAATGTTTCACCGCAGTGAAAATAAAATTGCCACGGTCTGTTGTGAGGGTATGATACCTACATGTAACAATAAGAATTTAGAAATACTCATAAAAAAATAAATCGATAGATAAATAAAGGACCAGTCAAAGATAAGAGCAAAAATCGCTGTCTTTAAATACATGTATATCTAAAGAGACTTGCTTTTACTTTTAAAACTCCTGTGTCTTTTCTTCTTTTTTTTTTCTTTTTATTCTCTACTTTTCCAATATTACCCAAGAAAATCAATTGTAGTTATCTTCTTCTTCCCAGTACATATGTCTTCTACCTCAACCATGATTTCCGTCCCACCAAATAACATAGAAAGTGAAACCTTTCTTTTACTTGTATTACTTTCCTCATCAAACTCTATCTCTAATTCTCCTATCTTATGGCATTCATCATCATCAATGTAAACGGGGTCTTCTCTATCTCTCTCTAAAGCATAGATTTTAAACAGCATAATCTTCTGATTACCTAAAATTGTAACATATGTTTTCTTTACTTGTGTTTCTCCTGTTTTCACTGATTGCCCAGTTTTCACAAGTTTGTCGAAGACATTAAAACATCTAATACTACCGTCTTTTTCTTTAAATCGTTTGCTCCTTGGATGAATTCCCTCTATAAAAAATGGGGTGTAAGCAGTGCCGTAGGTAAACTTGAGAATCCTTTCACTTATTGAAGAAGAATTGTGTCCATATATCAGAGCACCTCTTAATACGACCGATGAAGCGCCGGCAGGTATAAGAACTTCAGTTCCCGGCAATGCTTCTGACACGGCACGTTGTAAAACCGGTGATTCAGAATAACCACCAACCATCAGCAAAATTCTCACGTCTTTCAGTGAGCCGTCGGATAGCACTGACTTCAAATGACCAACCGTCTTTGTCACTGACGCGTCGAATAATTGAACAAAGACTTTGTTAGAAATCTTCATCTTATCCCGTTTAAGCTCAATCAGACCAGCATACTGAGACGATGCTAATGAAGTACAGAGGTCACGTTGTGAGTCTTGATTGTAAAGATCAATTAGTGATGCAGGTATTCTCATCCCTACTATACTTTCACTGTCTACAGTCGTCTCTCGTTTCCGTGACTCAAATTCTCGTTGCATGTCAAGCCAATCTTCTTTTTCTTCGTGTTTGAATTTTTCAAAAACTGTTCGTCCTACTATATGTATAAGCAAATTTTCAAATTCTTTGTCAACCATTATACTTCCCCAATCGCCACCACTTGCAGGTCTTATTTCTCTCAATGTGTGCTCACTTCCTGTCTCGTGCACTGTTACGTCTATTGTTCCGCCTAGAAAATGAAACATGTATTTCACATATGATACCATCTTTAGTAGAAGTTCAAACCACTATAATTTTATTATTACCCCTCACTTTTTGTTAATTTCCCTTAGGCCAAGAGGTAAATTTATACTATTAATGCAAATGTACCACGCGATTAAAATATTTGTATTGTTACAGGGTAACAGTATTATCAACAGCATAAAATCTGGTCACATGGCCTATTTTCTAAAAAAAAATCATAATCATAAAAATCATCACAGTTATTGTTCGGGGTAATAAAAAAAGTAACACATGGGCTTGCGAGTAACAGTAAAAATAGCATCCCTCGTAAAAAGATTGTTGCCCTCGGCTTACGCCTCTGGTTACAGTTTTTTTCTCGGGATGATATTTTTACCAAAAAACTCATGTGTTATTTATATGATGTTTACAGGTAAGTTTTAAACGTTCATGTTTCGTTCATTTCAGGAGAACATTGTTTCATTAAGGTTTCCTTGTACAAATATGTTTCAATTCAGTTTTAATCAATACCAAAAATAAGTCATATACTTGTTTCTAGATTTGTAAACAAGAACGAAGAGCTCTAAAGGTTTATTAATTTGTGCATATCTTTCTTTTCACATTCATTTTATTTATTCAATACCTAAAACAATAAGTTATAGCAAATTTTAAATGAGTGCCGCAAATATTTTTGAATTATTAATGTTTTGTTTTTTATCAATTTTAAGCATAAAATCTGGTCACATGGCCTATTTTCTAAAAATTCTAAAAAACAAATAATCATAATCATACAAATCATCTATTTATTGTTTGGGGTAATAAAATAAGTAACACATGGGCTTGCGAGTAACAGTAAAAATAGCATCCCTCGTAAAAAACTGTTGCCCTCGGCTTACGCCTCTGGTTATAGTATTTTCCTCGGGATGATATTTTTAACCACAAACCCGTGTGTTATCTATATGATGTTAACAGGTAAGTTTAAAACGTTCATGTTTTGTTCATTTCAGGAGAACATTGGTTCATTCAAGTTTCCTTGTACAAATATGTTTCACTTCAGTTTTAATCAATACCAAAAATAAGTCATTTTCTTGTTTCTAGATTTGAGAACAAGAAACGAAGAGCTCTAAAACGTTTTAATAATTAATGCATCTTTCTTTTCAAATTATTTTTATTTATTCATCAATGCCTAAAACAATAAGGTAAAGCATGTTATAAAATATGTACCGAAAAATTATTTGAATTTTTAATGGTTTTTTTCAATTTTAAGTATATGATCAATGTAAACTTAGAATACGTAATCACAACGTATGCCACAACGAAACAGTTTGTGGATGATAACACTCGTCAGTTTTTTGTGTGAATAAATTAACCATTTCGTCAAAAGAAAAATGCTAAACGTATGGCTATATCAAGCCATATCAGTATCAGAACACTGATTTATTAATAGTAGCCAAATCATTCAGCAATTGTAAGAACAGTGTATTTTTACATTTTAATATAATTGCATATGTGACGCCTATGAATCTGTAAAATGAAAATATCCAATGATATTTAAAAAGACCAATACCTCCTGCATCAACAACTATGTATTTGGTGCCAATTGGTAACTTGTTCATCGAAACATTGCCAATCTCACCACGTTTATGCATATGAACATGCCTGCAATACAACGAAGCCGCTTCGGGTTCCAGTGCGATTGTTAGTTGTTCTTTACATAAACCAGTCTGAGAAAGTAATTATGGGTTCGATTAATTACTAGTATTTGCTAACATAACTAAAATGAAATTCAAAAGAACTGAATGCTAATTTGGTTCTGTTCACATACCGTTTTCTAGATTTTGAAGACAGAACATTATGCAAAATATCTAAAGAGACACTATTTTATTTTGATTTTAATTTAATTAGTTTTTTCAAAGATGAAAATATTGGAGTAATTTTCCACACTCATACTGGCTTAATAAGCAATAAGTTCTGACAAAAATACACTCTGATTAAAATCAGTTCTAAATAACGCTCCGTTTTTAGATCTGACCGTGACCAAATACGAAATCATTTCTGTTTACCTTGCACACAGCCAATCATCGGCGAACTTTCAAAATTTTGAAATGGATGTTGTTTCAAATTCTAACCCTGGGAAAACCAATACTGATGAGTAGGTAATTCTCACGATTTGGCGTTGTCCATATAGTCGACAGGTAAACAATCTTGTCCCATCAAAGATTTACTCTTTTATTTCCAGATAATTTGTTAAAAATTACTTCAAACATTTTTTTCCTAACAAAATCAACAATTTGTTAAACTTCCATGGACAACGGTAGTTTGATACTTCTTCTAATGCCTATGTAAAAGCCGGATTGATTGCATAGGAAATCCGAATTGTTAAGGCGAAACATATACGGTCATCATCAGATCTGCATAAAAGAAATAAGTAGATCTGAACTTAAGTCAGATTTGACAAAATGATATCATTCGAAATCAGTAAAGTCAGGGTGCAAAACGTGCTTGCCCATTACTAATATAACGGTCCACGTTTAAATTTACATTGTTACCTTTTCAGCAGCTTCACGCATGAATTGTTTAGCGGCATCGGACCAAATTGCAGGAACTGTTACAACTAAGTGAATTTCAGAGTGTCTGATTATACCATCTATACCCTTGCCAGCATTATTCAACATGTCATCTACCAAGAACTTGATTGACATTCCAAAGACATCAGCTGCTAAAAGAGGTCTGCCAGATTCGTCGTTGATTGTTATGTCTCTTTTTAAGTCCTGGAATAATATTTAAACATGTAATGAAGGTTTTTCTTTCAAATTGGAATGAATAAGAAATATTGATTCATATATCTTCTGGATGAAGAACATACATGACGTACCCACTATCTTGTTTAAAGTATAGCTTCATTGAATTAATAACTGTCCAAACAGGTTTCCTGCCAATTGTGATTGCATCACAAACTCCGACACTATGCCTACAGGCACTTGATGATGATCGTTCAATGGATGATTGGTTGACACATTCTTATAAGAGATTTCATGAATAGAATAATTATCTTCTTTATACTTGGGAGTTGATAAAGAATATTAAGATATATAAAACCGTACTTTGCCCATCTTACAATAGAGTTCCATTTTGAATCGTTTAAAGAAGAAATAATATTCTTCTTCTCCTTTTTCAAGTATTTGTCTATATTCGTTTTCGGCATCGTACCCAAACGCTTTCAATGTTTTACCATCAGGATTAACCAATGCACATGTCGGTGTTTTTTCTGTCACTAATGTTCCTGATCTCGGCAGCCAATGTTTTGTCGTTGCTTTTGTCGGATCCGAATCATAGTCATGTTTAAAAGAAAAGGCCCAGCCGGAGTAAGTCGTTCCAAAATCGATCGCTCCAACAAGAAGTCTTTTTGCGGTCTTCTGCGAATTGGAAACCTGTGCATAATATGAAAATAATTTCAGAAGTTTGGCCAACACAACATACATTAGGAACATTAGGAAACCAAATGCATTGAATGAAATAAGAACAAGGGATAAATAGACATTTAACAAAATACATGTAATTGTTGATTGAAATAAAAAGTACGTTTCTATGAAGTAAACTGATACAAAAAGCTATGTAAGGCCTACACAAGTGTATATGTTTTTAAACTTACAATCTCGTAAATACACTGAGATGATAAAATTAATGCTATGAATTTGTTCAATGAAAATGAAATAATGTAAGAGTCGGTGGCATTAATTAACTATTGACTTAATGAACTGTTGAACCTAGATGTACATACTCTGAATTATATATATAAAGACGTATCAGAAATATATTTAGATATTATCATTTGTATTTCGTCAGCAACCTGTTTAACAAATAAATGATAAATTGCAAAATATTTTTATTTACTTTAAATCAATGATTTCGATTGGTTTCATATTGTTTTTTCCCTTTCCTCACAGCTAAATGCCTCGCTAACGTATAATCCCGAATTTTTCAGATGACTTTACGTTTTGTCATGTATTACTGCAGGAGGGAAATTCTTTTATTTAGTTCAATTTCCTAAATTGCAATTTTCCCAACATTAACCTTATGATTCATATGTATACACTATCCGTATCGATGTTTGTTTTGTTAGTTTTTTCTTTAATCGTGTTTACAGGCATAACCTCAAAACCGTTTATATAGTCATTAAAAGTGTGTGTGATTTTTTTTTATATTGTTGTTGTTTTGTAAACTGCGGTATGAGTCAGCTATGGATTTTATATCTATTTGCATAGTTTGTAAAAAAAGTTGCAGCATACCTTCGATGAATGAAAACGATGAAAAATCACCAAAAATATATCTATCCGGCGAAATACCTACTTTATTAATTAAATGTACATATATGATTCTGATAATTTTCTTAAATTGAGTGTACATTATATTTGGATAAGTACAGGTGACAGATATGAATGACAATGGAATATAAGACGCAAATATTCATCAAATATGTAATAATAACATTTGATTAATTAAAAGACATTCTTCTCAAAATTTAAGGCCATCACATACGTCAAGTTTGCAATGAAATATCGATTTTTACATTTATTTTGAAAATGTTAGAATATTATCAAGTATTTTATTCAGGAAAAAAGTTTTGTTTAATCGAGAAATCTGTATTTTTATTGGATAAATAGCATTATCAGACCTGGCATGATGACAGCTATCGATGATACTTTGCAGCGTCGACTTTGAGAATTGATTTACAGATATTTTATTTGTATAACTTTCGATTTCAAATTTATGTTTCAAGAAAACAAAACATATAATCAATGGTTAAAATGCAGTATACATTTTAAGATTAAATAATTAAGTATTATCTGAGCAATGTCAAGAAAAATCAAAAGTTAAAAATAACATACCATAACTGCCATGTCTTCCTACTAAATGTCAATGCATTCACAAACAGGAAGTAATATACACACTTGTCACGAATGTTTTTGGATAATGTTTTATCAGTCTGAATGATTATGTATAGGTTACGCAGTGTAGCAAATTTTAAATGTAAAAATATTTTATATTAAAATTAAGCATGTTTTTGTATTAATGTGTTATTTTATTAAATAAAATGAGTAAATGGTTTTTATTTCCATAGATTTTCTAATTAAAAAAATCATGTGATTTCAAGACATGATATTTTGAGCAATTTATACTTCGAATTTTTTTAGGACTATATATATACTTCGAATTTTTTAGGACTTTTTTCTGTTGCAACACATACATGTATATAGTATATAGTATATTTATCTTTTCTGAAGGAATTTATTTTAAGTTGGGTCTAAGTTTTAGATAAAATTACTAGCCTACTAGAGGATGTGATTAAGAGTTAGAATATGCCACAGATATATGAAGTACATCAATTACCTGTTATATTAATATCTGTTCTACATATTGGATTATGTATTTTGGCATATTAGCCAAAACTTAGACCCAACATAATGCAGTATCCCCTAGTAGGATAGGCATTTTAGCCAAAACTTAGACCCATTATAATGCAGTATCTGTATGTCTGGTTTTTACGCCGATTTTAATACATTTTATCAGATCCACCTAACTGGCTTTCCTGGATTACTCATCACTATTTTTTTTTATTTCTCCGCAAGTGACCGACTACTTATAAAACATGGGAGCCCCTTGACCTTAAGACTCGATGTATAATATATCAGGAACAAATTCACCTTCCCGGGAATCAAAGCAGCAACCACTTTGTTATGAACCCTATGTTTCCCTATTGAGTTATTCGAGAGGACATTAAGTTAATCAAAAGAAAATAACAACCTCCTTTTGATAACAAATTATGCAACTCTGTAGCTGATGAATATGAATGTCACCCATGTTATGCCAATCAACCATACTCAGTCGTTTTTCTGTATTAGTATACAATTTAATCATCTGATACTTATAATTTTCTTAAATTGACATGTACACTATTTTGGTTAAGTTGAAGCGATAGATTATTCATGAAATAAATGAAATATAAGGCCCAAAATTTATTAACAATCAAAAGACATGCTTGCCTACATTATAGGCCATTAATTCAAAAAGCCAATACAGATATCCAATTAATACTGATCGAATAGAATTAAATCGTGTTTCGGTGATACATAAAGACCACAATGTTTTGTTATAAAGTAGGAATTCATTATCACAATCAAGCAACAACATATGTCTATACAGCTTTATGGTCCACATGAATTGCAAATGTATTATTATTTTAAGAAAACAAAAAATAAAGTCACATATTTATATGTAGGTAAGGTTTTACTTAATGTCTTAATTGAAATTATTGAAAATAGAAAAAAACATCAAAAACTATACCATCGATATAGATAACTTTTAAATCCTCGAAGCTACATAACAGGAATTTATATACGCATACTCTAAAAAGTCCGATATATTTATTTTAAAAATGAAATCTTATCTATGATATGGGTATTACAAATATTGAGTAGATATAAAGGTTTTTGCTTAAAACATCTAGTTCGTGCTATATACAGCTCTGACCTGTGTAGATAGATAATACAAAAATCATTGAAATATCTGTATTTAGACACATATCGTTGGCAAATGTGCAAATCAAAGTGGTGATGGTAAATGTTCATTTAGTATAACATGTCAAGTGCTGCTGATTTATTTCTCAGTTTATAAGATAATTAATGAGTCCTTTATAACATTATAAATACATGTGCACATGCTTAGAGCCAAATACACACAATATATACGTGCGTATAAAACATCAATATTTAGATAGGAGAACATTTTGCAATGAAAACTTAAAATTTAGCATATTCAGTATTCATAGTCATGATAGTGATTTGTTTCAATAAGTTACTTGTACAGTTTCCGGTTTGAAAAAGTCATAGAAAACTGCACCATGCTTAGTATATAATCACTAAAAGGTAAACGTCAGCATTCTACAACATGGCAAACTCTGTACAACTAGATGGCCTCAATATTCAGAGCGTCTCTCTGCTTTCTTGTAATATCGGACATCTTGACTGATCTTCAAGTAGACATGGTTACCGATACAATGTCCGGAGAAAAAGGCAATGCTGTGCTTTGACTTTGCCATTGCTCTCTGAGCTGTAGGTTTGCCCACCTTGCCTTCATATGATTCACTTCAAAACCCAAACTGTGACTTAGTTACAGCATCAGAGCATGCATTATCACGATTTGGTCTCCTAAGCAATGAGAAATGTGGATCAGACTTCTGTAATCAGATATGGCAAAAATATGTGGATCTACTGAATAGCAAATCATTCCAGTCTCCCACTCAATGGATGTTGGGTACATCTACCCAATCGAAACATCCTCGGCTATTATTAATAATAATCTCACAGTGAAAGTAGTTCTACCACGTGGTTTCAGATGTAAACAGATACAGAGAGTGTAATCTTCGATAATGTAAGACGAATGTAAAGGAAATATAGTCTGTCACGGTACAATTATGATTGGAAATAATTCTGACAACCATTTTTGATTTTAATATGCCGATTGATGTACAATTATAAACAAATTCAATTTGATGTCAACAGGGTAGAATGGCTTGTTATCCCCATGTGACTGCCGTCATTGTATATCAATAGAATGACAAAAGATGTAACACCGATATTTCTTTTAATGTGTTGTAGTTTAGCTTTATTTAACTCCAAAAGTTAAGTGTAATGTAATACTTCTTTAGCTAACGATATAATGAGCTCTTGCAAAAATGTAACTTTAAACTGTACACGATTCTTAAACCGTTGTCTTCCATTATTAAACAGCTCAATAGCCAATCAATAAGCTACTATATCATTCATATATAAGGGTACAGTACAACTGCTGTTCGTTTTGCGAATTGTGTCCAAGAAATGATATGTGATACATATGTACATTTACACACTACATGTTTTTAAATTAATTTTAAAAAAATAAACAAAACACAAGAAACTTACACGAATTGTATTTTATGTCTAAGCTAAGTTACAAGCTAGTTAATAATCAGATTACTTCATGCATCAGCGAAAATTACAACAAAACAACAAACATACAAACTAAACAAACAAACAGTATAAACAATAAAGAAAACACCCCCAAAAAACCATTGATTTGCAAACAAAAATAATCTACACATGCCCAAATTGTACTATAGTAGCAACATGAAATCTAGTCTGTTTGAATTAACTGTAATACTTCACTGGCAAAACGTAAAACTTTAAGACTAAAATATCTTGCTCAAGTGAATTTCTCCAGTAAAATATTATCATGTGAGAAAATGAAGCATAGTGTAGTTATAGTTATAATCGTAGAAAAAATGAATAATTAAATTTAAATTTAAATAATTACTTATTTTCCGCATGCTCAGTGTAATAGATTAGGGTAATACATTTGTTACTTGTGTGAAAGATTGGCACGTTATTTCCCTTTATACAACTTCTCGTGCATCCCATAGGTAATAAATATGTATAATTTAAAGTAGTTGATGAGATAAAATTATCTTTATATGAATTAATTACAAAAATAAGTAGTTTCATATTACTACAAACGAGAATATGTAGAGTAAAAGTTAATGTTTAAATGAATAGATGGATTGGAAGTAAAAAATACTGTATACTTTGACAAATTAATAAGGATAGATTGAGATGAAACGTCTGCTCGTTAAACATTATACAGGTTAAGCTGTATTTACTATGCATATCATTCATACTAATTGTGAGTAATACGGCTGAGTAATTAAATGAGCCATTATGTTGACTAAGGTTTGATCACCACTTACTGGAATTTAAAAGAAACCGCAAACACAACAAGAATGTTTTGTTGAACAAACTTCGAGGATCGGAAATGTAACATCTCTGATTGAATGTACGACAGAGTTTTACCAGCCTCCCCATTGCTCGTCTCCTATCTTACATAAAACTGATAAATATTCAAATCTTAAAACGGGTCGAAGAATGGACAATTGGAATACTTTTCTAAAGGTAAACTTATGCTGTTTTGTTTTTGTCTTAACGTTTTAGCAGGAATTATTATTTAAAAAAGAATCTTACCTTAATTACAGCAGTTTTATTGATTTCTTCAGTCTGAGGTCAGAAATTTTTGCAAATTAATAGTATTAGAATGTGCAAAGTTTTGCACATTAATAGTATTAGAATGTGCAAAGTTTTGCACAGTTTCTGTGGGTTATAATATAAATATGGCTATCATTAAAATATTGCAGAATAAGCATTCAAATTATTATATCTAATATTCTACTTTCAATTGAGATAGAATAAAAAACAAAACATCGTCCTTATTTTCAAAATAGTAATTCAAGAATTTGATTTCAGAAACATTTAGCTTCAATTTTAAAAATCAACATTCAAGATATTTTTCTATAAAAACAGGATTTGTGTATTTCACGAGTGCGGTAACCATGAAAATTTTCATACCACAATAAATCCCGTATTTATAGCTTTTTTGACCTTACGTCTCGAAAGACTCTTACTTTAATTTTGTGTTTTAGTTGAATTTAGAAATGTGTCGTCGGGAAGACTACCTTGAAATTACGGAAAATATGCATGTTTCACTGTTGTGAAAATACAGAAAATGAAAATACGCATTTTATTGTGTCATAATTTCTCAAAATTTCAATTTTCACGATATGTTGTAAGGGTATGAGACCTATAGTGTAGGAAACGAGGACCGGTTAGTAGGACCCTACCAGTCTATGTCTAGGAACAGTAAGTTTTATATACCAAAATGTTCACAAGGGTTCGTAGAATACGAAACGATATTTCGTTTTAACCCAAATGGTCGGATAATCAAGAAATCCAAGATGGCGTCCAAGATGGCCGCCAAAATTCGCAAAAACATTAATTATCATTATTTGGCAATTTTTTAAAAGAATTTCTAAGTCACTTTTGTCTTTACATATAAATATGATAGAAAACACATGTTTA